TCACTCTTGGCATACGCAATGCGTGTCCATGTTATGCAATGCAATGCACCACGAGCACCAACATAATTCGGACACCCAATGTCACAACACGTGCTTAATTGGCCCAATTAATACCGTGTGGCCTAACGTGCGATTCACAAATCAGCAATTCATTGTAACCAAACAATGGCCAATCGCACTCCACAAAATCAGCCACACAACATACGACATAGCAGTACGAAATCAACCACAATTAAGCACAATTGACGTACAATCAGTCAACCCGGGTATACCCGGCAATTTCACCAACGAGCTCCTAAATTGGTCATTAAACCCCATTATCCTCCCCAATGATTCTCATTAATCCACTAAATTTTTTCGATAATAATTTCTCCCAATCAGTTCTCAACCCAGTCTGAAATACACACTGCTATAATCTAAGCCAGTCCAAAATGCACCGATAATACCTAAACCAGTCCAGGAAAAATGCACTATCAGTCCTAATCCGAGTTTAGGAATTTTACTCACCTAATCCAAAGTCACGACGTCGGGGAACGGCGGCCGATCACTGGTGAACAGTGAAACCCGCGGCGGAATTCCCGGCAACGGCCGGGGGGGGGGGGGGGGGTGGGTGTACGGACGATGAACAGTACTCCCCGTACGGACACTGTACGGACGGGCTGGGACGGTGGCCGGCGAGATGCCGGTGACAGCCGCGGCGTCCCTTACGGCCGGCGTGAACAGTAATCCGTACGGCCGTGAACAGTACCCCCGTACGGACACTGTACAGACGGTGGCTGGGCAGCGACGTATGGACGTGCTGGACGGCCGGGTGTCGACGGAACGGCGATCGGAGCTCCGGCGAAGCTCCGGCGGTACTGTTTGTAAAACAGAAAAATGAGAAAAGAGGGAAAAAGGAGAGAGAGGGCTGTTTCTGGACTGAAACCGGGGCCTGTGGTGGCTGCACAGAGGTGGAAATGGTTGCTGGTGGTGCTGGCTCGGCGGGGGCAGCTCCGGCTGGTACTGTTCCAGCGTGAACAGTACCAGGAAATGCAGAAATGTGCCCACGGTAGAGAAAACGTTGAGGAAGAAGAGGAAAAATTGGGAAATGGCCGAATGGGTCTGCACGAGAGAGAGAGAGAGAAATATAGTCTGGTCAAAGCTGGTCCAACATGGAATTAGTGGATTCCAAGTGTCAAAATCTAGGGCTATTGGACAATTTTGCCCTTGATCCAAGGGCTAGGATTCAATCTAATCCAATAATTTAGGAGGTGAAATGGTCTTTTGTCTCTAACCATGGTTGACCAGACCTGGTTTAATCCCAATTAACCTTGGTTAACCCCAAAATTTTGACCAATTTTCGGAATTAAATAAAATGGTCTTAGGGGCATTTTCGTAATTTTCCGATCCCAAACTGAAATTTCAATTTTCGCACATACGTGTTCCATATGTGCGTGGCCAATATAGTATGACGTCGGAATCGCGAAATTCATCGCGCAAGCCCTCGAAAATCCACGTCAAAGTTTCGGGAATAAAATAATATTATTTTTTCAATTTTTGTCGAAATTCCAATTTTTGGCCAAAACGACTCCTGGTATGCGTGGCCACCCAAAAATGGCGTCGGCCACGAAAAATAACCTCATTTGGCCTCGAAAAGCGACGCTGGCATCCCGGGGGCAAAATCGTAATTTTTCACCCCCGGACCGAAATTCCAAATTTTTACTCGTACTAACTCTACATATGAGTGGCCAGCGTAATATGACGTCAGATTCCCAAAAATAGTCTCTTAAGCCTTCGAAAATCGATACCGAAATTTGGGCCCAATTCCGTGAACAAAACCCGCTAAACTTTCAATTTTAGGGTCTCTCACTAACGGGCGGCAGTTTAGAGATTACGCGTATCGACCTAGGGCTACCCGTATCGTAATGGTCTCGATCATTGAGAGAATGAGAAATTATCACTAGCCCCAGAGGCTACGATCGTTCGGTTTAGGTTCAGGACTGATTGGCCACGTGCACTTTTCGGTCATGCAGATTCACCTGCGATCCGAGTGTACAACGTTGGCCTTGGCCAAACCAAATCCGTTACCTTTCCTAAGATCGGCCCACATCGGTTCAAAATATTCCCTCAGCATCTCTCGCGATCGGTATCCGTTTCACGATAGGGTCCCCGGTCCACGTACCGCTTTCTAGTTAGCCATGCCCCATTGGTTAGTATCCCGAGAGTGATCAGCTCTGGGCGAGACTTACTAAAATGAAATGCGAATTAATATCCGTTTTATTGATCCCGGACTTACATCGAAATTCGGGCTGTTACAAAAATTGTCCTTTTGCTTATTTTATGTATAGCATGGTATAACTCAATTTTCAAGATTAAAGGAAAAATTGTCATAGTTGGTAATCAATTTTCTTCTGTGACATATATTTGACAATACATAATAGAAGAAATTAAAGGGTCATATTTCTTTCTTGCCTATGAAAACATGAGGCGCCTATTTAAGCGAAAGGAAACATATATGACAGTGGTATGTTTTTATTAATTGTCCATCTTCTTAAGATAATTTATTGCGTAGAAAAGGAGAAGTAAAATTGAAATCGAATTGGCATTTGTTATTACCCCTAGTATTATTCACAACACTAATGATTTTATGGTCTAGCATGTGATATACAGAGTATAAAATCAAATAAAATAAAAGGCATATAGAGAAATTAACACTAATGTTTTCTAACAAAGGATGTGCAATTCAATACTAACTTGAGAATAATCAATAACATCCCTATCAAGGCGAGATATATATCCATTTTTGGCACAGAGCTACTTAAAATAAAACTTAAGTACCAAAGTTAGATATGCGAAATATAGCTTCATAACAGGGTACAGAGATTTTCATTCACGTCTTCTCAGTTTTTCAATCCTCACCATCCCTCTTTCCCCACCCACACTTGGTAATGGTTCCGCAAGACCTTCGAGGATTACGAGAGGGTACTCAGGCAGCCGCAGCTTATTGTCTAGTTTCTCGAGCGAGCAGGTCGTTTGGCCCTTCCTCTGGTCTCATATATTGAAATTGGTATAAAAGCCCCAATGAAGTATTCCCAGAAGAAATGGCAAATCCGATTGCGATTAGGTGCCCACCCTAGCGTACATAACGAGCCAAGGTAAAGTTTCCAGATACGGATGAGGGCAGTGATTCCAATGATCAAGGTGACAACGGCGATCCAAGTGCGTTTGCTTACGGTCACGTAGACCCCCGCCATGAAGGCCACAGACATTGTGGCAAGAGCCATGAGCAGCGGTAGCCATGACTTGCGAATGGCCGAACGCACTGGATCCAAACCTTTTCTCTGCACCCAAAGAAGGGTCACAACTGCAATTATTGAGCTGTACATGGCGACGGTGTTGCAGATCACGAAAACGTCATACATAGGTTTTTCCAACAGCGTAGCGATTCCAGCATCTGGTTCAGAGCCATTATATCCTCCAGGAACAGAAAAGCCAGCAGCGAATGTCATGGTGCCAATGAGCGTTGCCACGACCATACGGGTATTAGCCACATTTCTTAGTCTATCCACATATTGAGTCTCCTGAAATCTATCCGGGCCTGAGCCTTTTGGCCGGCAAATTGCTATATCTTTGCTTCTGGGTGCTCTAGCACGTACTAAGATTCTTGCTGTCCTAATCTGGTTAAAGCGTAATAGAAAAAAAAGACCGTTATCATCCGTGAAGATGGACTAACAATCAAAGATTTAGAATTCAAAAAAATGAAACCTTCTCAAGTGATGCATAGACTAGCAAATGCAATCTTTTCTGAGCTTTTTGTAGAAACTTAACTCCACGTGGACCATTTCAATTGCGTTCGTCTCTCACAGAAAGGAAGTAGCTAAAAAAACAGGGAAAAACAAAAGTAAATAAGTACGTTAATCCATTTATGTAGATATCATCACCTCGTGAATTGGAGCATCAAGTTTCCTCTCATTGGCAATGTCGAAAGCTGTCAAGTTGTTGTTGTTTACAAGCGTAAGATTGGCTCTTCTGCGCCGCCGGGTGAGTAAAAACACAACTTCAGGTTGCCACTGCAATGTGGCCACATGTAGAGGCGTATTTCCTTCCTTGTCTTTCGCATTTATAAGCTTCTTAAGGTTAGGATCGCAGAGTATATAGTCCACTACAGAGACCCATCCGTACTTTGCTGCAACGTGAAGTATATTTCGCCCCTCCTTAAGACTTAGCAACTCTTCCGGGTCTGGCCAATGTCGAAGTAGCTCTTTGATTATTTCGAGATGACCCATCTTACAGGCGACGTGGATTGGAAGATAGCCTTCTTCATCACACTCAAAGGCGCTCGAACCAAACTCATTGACCAGGAATATGACTCCATCAACGTAATTTACGTATGCAGCTAGATGGAGGGGAGTACCACCTCCAGCATCTCTTAAATCAAATAGCTCTTTCTTCAGCTTTGACATCCTTTTCAACATTTCTACGTCATTAGAGCAGGAAATGAATGAACTTGCTCATGGCCAAGGGTCTGGTTTTTCTTAAAATAAAACAAAAATGCGATTAAATAGACATTGGGGAATGCTCAAAGCATGGAAACAGTCATTTCCAAGAAGGAGATTACCACATTGAAGTTCTCAAGATCAGGCCAAGACACGAGTCTCTTCCTGTTTTACAAGAGGTCCTTGGACAATAATATAAATAGTGTAGTATCTACAAAAGCTTATACTATGAGTATCGACTATTGAAGTATTAACTCGGTGACATTTTTCAGGGGGTAAGTTTTGCCAGGACCTTAAGTCCAAACATATCGTATCTGCCTTCTTCTGGGCCAAAATTTATAGGAAACTTTCAATAATTGATGCAGGCTCTAGATAAAGTCAGAACATTCTAGCAGAAAAACAATAAATGTATGTTAGACGTACAGGTTCAACAGCTGGTATGGACCTAAAATTTACACACGTATACATGTGTATGGTCGGAATGATAAATGTAACGAAGTGAGAGCCATAAGTTCAATCACTTACCTAATCTTTGGTGCATCACGGCTCCGTGAACTGGCGACATGCCTTGCATCCTGGACCAAGGGACTTCATTTTCATCCATCGCCTCCATCAAAAGCTTGAGAATCTCCAAGTTTCCAGTCTCGACTGCCAAGTACAGTGGGCATTTGCTCTCCTTGTTCTTCGGATACACAGCTCTTGAGCCTCGACTCAGGAGCAGACGGGTCAACTCATAGCGACTGTTCTTCACAGCCTCATGCAGTGCCGTGTTCCCCATGTCATTCGCAATGTCGGCAATACTGCCACAGCTGAGGAGGAGCTCGGCCGCATGGATGCTGCCAGCTCTTGCCGCGACATGGAGGGCGGTGTCCCCACGGTAGTTTGCCTTGGCGACAAGCTGCTTGTCATGGATGACCTCGAGGAGGGCTCGGAGGATGTCGGGGTTCTTGATACCCGCTGCGATGTGGAGGAATGAGTTCCCAGAAGGGCCCTGTATGTGGATAATGTCAGATAAAGAGACCCTCTCTTCGGCGGAATACTTTTTGATGGCTTCGATAAACTTGTCGACATCCCCGTCTTTCGTGGCCGTGTGTAGCAGCGGATTGATACGACATTTGAATTCTACTTGGCAGTGTGGTTGGTTTACCGATTCTAGTTCTTTCATTCTGGCCCTTCTCTGCTCCCAGATTTCATCATCTCCAATAGTCATGCTCACGTGATCGCGATCCATCTTCAGACTCTGAAATTTGAATATCGTCTCGTCCAAAGTGAGACGATAGTCTGGTTGAACTCTTCTGCGGTGTCTCTTCTCCAAGATGAATTGCGTAGCCACAAACTTGGAGATTTTTGTTTTTTTCTCTAGCTGTCAGTGCGTATCATGGCCACGAGAAATTCTTAAACATCGTACTACATTTATATAGAGAACGTTGTCGGTGCAAACTATTTTAAGCAAGTAATTCCTTGAAAACTGTTGGTGCTGCGAAATTGCACGAGGCGGGAATCTAAATTTCAGGCGATATGGAAAAACAAAACCGATTCTCCACAAAATGATCAAATTATCAAGTCCTGTGCTTCTCAAATGAGCATGGATCTGCGAAAATGTATCGATAAGGAAAATGCTAAATTGTTTTTGAACAAGAAAATTTATACACGATTGAAGTTTTGATCATCTATAAAATATTATGTATCGATAATATATCTTTTAAACTTAAATATTAATTTGATCCACAATCTTCATTTTAGTTGAATATGTTTCACAATTCTTGCTCATGATCGAGGTAAGTTAAAACATATGTAGTTACCTAATCGTACAAATAATCTAAAACAAACTCAAGAACGTCCTTTAAATTCAGTTCATACAAACACACACACAAGAATTGTGACAGCAAATTATATGCCCATAAGTGTCATTAAAAAATATTTTGCAACACAATTTAGGTCATAACTCTTACATGTGATTGAACTAGATCACACAATACAATTACATTATTGACATAAGTCTTCCAAAGCTGACTAAAAAAGAGTTCTGTTATTTGTGAATGAGTGATTTCAAGACACTGGTTAAACATATATAATAAGAAATGTTTCAATTTTTAATGCATTGATTACACATAACATGAGAGATATAGTGCATTGAAATTTGTAAATTTTTCTTATGCATGGTTGCTTAATAATGTATCAAGACACTTGTTAACAAAAATGCAACTTAAAAATTATTTTCAAATTTAACTTAATTGAATGTATGTTAACATAAATTCAATGCTTATGAGAACCAAAATCACAATCATGCAAAAATGAAATTTCGAGAAGTAAAATTTCAAGTCGTATTTTTTTTTTGACATAGAAATTTGAATATATTGTGCTTGTTTTGAAGTTTGACCTTTTTCATTGCAGCTTGGGTTTTTATTTTTTTAGTTTTAGCTCTTGCTGCGATGTGGAGCGCGGTGTCCCCTCGGAAGTTCGCCTTGGTGGTGAGCCGCTTGTCAACGATGACCTTGAGGAGGACTTGGAGGATGTCGGCATTCTCGATACCCGCTGCGACGTGGAGCAACGAGTTCCCAGAAGGACCCTGTATGCCAATAATGTTGGACAAAGAGACCCTCTCTTCGGCAGAATACTTTTCGAGGGCCTCGATGAACTCGTCCACGTTGCCTTCTTTCACGGCGGTGCATAGCAGCAGATACACACGATAGTTGGATTCTGGTTGAAGTTGTCTTTCATTTACTACCGACTCCAGTGCTTTCAATCTGGCCCTTCTCTGCTCCCAGATTTTATGATCATCAATGTTTATGCTCTCGCGATCGCCATCCATCTTAAAACTCTGAAACTTGAATATTGTCTTCTCCAAAGTTAGACGATGATCTGATGAACTCTTTTGCGAAGTCTCTTCTCCAAGATTAAATGCACGATTCTGTATTCCTTGAGTGGCTCGTGGGGTTTACACAAATCACTCATCGGTTGCCACGTCGGCACGGGCCAAATCATTTCATTCTCTTATTTAAGATGTAATTATCAAATGAGACCAACCACACTCTGCACAAAGTTGGTTGGACCAGACTATCACAGTACAAGATTGTGTCCGTCGTCTAACTTCAGTCATACACCACGAACGAGGTTTCCACGAACGAGATTTCGAATTTCTTTTTTCATTTCTTCTCTCTCTGCACAATACATATGCTCCTTTTAGTCTTGACCCACCAGCACAAAGTTATTTGTAGAATGAAGAAAAGAAGGTGAGAGAAGAGAGAGAAAGTAAAAGGAGAGAAAAAGAAAAGAAAGTGAGAGAAGATGGGAGAGTAAAGGCAGAGGGAGAGGTAAAAAAAAGGAAAAGGAAAGAGAAAAAGAAAAAGAAACTCTGCGGCTTCTTTTCTTTAGCTAAAGTGAGAATAATCTGTGTGCCTGTGCATGGTTCAGTTGACGCAACTTCATGGAGAGTGGATCTCCCCTGGTATTTTACATTTTAAGGTTCGTCTGTATTCCGGGAAAGTTAAAATTTAAAAAACACTTTCCAAAAAATAATTAATTATATCCCTTAAAAAATTTAGTCAATAGATAATTTATGCCTAATTATTCTTGTGCATGATAACAATATTTTTTATTCATTCATTTTTGTGAGCGATATAATCAAATATTTTTTGAGAAAATATTTTCTAAATTTTTAGTTTTTCATGAAACAAGCGCATCCTTAAATAAAAAATAAAATGAATTGGCTTGAGTTCGCACACGTCGCAACAAGTAAGTGGATTTGCAGAAATCCCTTGTGGCAATCAAGGTATCCAATATTTTCTCTAATTGCACCACCACAGCTAAAAATAGTGACAGTAAATTATATGCACAAAAGTGTTACTAAACAAAATTTTGCAAAACAATTCAGGTCATAACTCCGCACATGATTGAACTAGACCACAAAACTCAATTACATTGTTGACATCAGTCGCTCAAAGCCATCTAAAAAAAGAGTATTGCTCTTTATTAACTAGTGACTACAAGACGTTGGGATTTACTCAGTGCTCGGTGGGATTTGCACGCAGAAAGCAGATTCATCAAAGTTGGGCTACTGAAAAATCAAAGAAAAATAATAATATATGTGTGTGTGCGCACGCGCAAGAAATTGAATACACTACAAAAAAACATGAATTTTGCGACGGGAAATTTTCGTCGCTAATTTGCAACAAATTTTGCGACGGATTTCTAAATCCGTCGCAAATTTGCGACGGAAAATAATCCGTTGCAAATTTGCGACGGAATTATTTTCCGTGGCAAAATTCGTTGCAAATTTGCGACGGAAAATTAGTCGTCGCAAATTAGCGACGACCAACTTTCCGTCGCAAATTTGTGACGACTTTTGCGACGGATTTATTTTCCGTCGCTAATTTGTGCAACGAAATTTACCCTTTTGCGACGAAAGTAGCGACGAATATTTTATCCGTCGCAATTTGCGACGGATTTTGCGACGAAAATGGATTCGTCGCTAATTTGTGACGGAAAATTACTTTCGTCATATGCACCCCACCGGTCAATTTCTCTCTCTCAGTACTGATTCCTCACGTCGCCCACTTTTCTCCCGCCTTATCCTTCTTTCGTTTCTCTCAATAATCCGTGTGAGCAGAAATCAATCTCGGTAAAGCTTTGCCACCGGTAAGTATCGTAACTAATTTCGTGACTAAACATGCGACTAATACAGTCCTGTCCTTTTTATTCATCGCTGGATGCGAAATTTTTTTTTATTGACTTTTTTTTTCTTTTTTTGTTATAACTTGGGCCGGTCGCCGGTCCGGCGAGGCCGCTCGGCCTCCCCCCATGGCGGTCGACCTCGCCGTCACCCAGATCTGGGCGACGGCGTGGTCGACCAGCGGCCATGGCGAGGCCGCCATGGCCGGCGAGGTCGACCGGCGGCCTCGCCCAAGTGTGGCGGTCAACCTCGCCGTCGCCCGGAGCGGCACGGCCATGGCCGTCGGTCGACCTCGCCGTCGCCCGGATCTCTAGGCGACGGCGAGGTCGACCGACGGCCATGGTGAGGCCGCGCGGCCTCCCCGATCCGGGCGAGGCCGAGCGGCTTCACCCCATGGCTAGCGAGGCCGCGCCGCCCGGCCATGGCCGTCGGTCGACCTCGCCGTCGCCCGGTTGGGCGACGGCGAGGTCGACCGGCGGCCATGGCCCGCCGCTCGGCCTCCCCGAGATCTGGGCGAGGTCGAGCGGTCTCGCCGTGGCCGCCGGTCGACCTCGTCGTCGTCCAGCGGCCATGGCCAGGCCGCTCAGCCTCGCCGACGACAGCCGGTCGCTGGACCGACGACAGCCGGTCGCTGGACCGGCGACCGGAGAAAAATATAAGAAAGAAAAAAATTTTAAAAAAATGCAAAAAAAATAAAAAAAAAAAAACTATTTAAAAATGAATGTTAAGTGATTTTGCTTTTATTTAGGTACGTGTCCAATTGAAGGTCTCGCAATCCAAGTGAACGTTGCAATTCTCTTCAAATTGACCACTTTCTGCTACCAAGATTTCAGTTAAATATCTGGGTAAGTCTTCTTGACATGGTAATTTTTTCAATTTTTTCAATTTCAAAGTAATTGTTGGGTGAAAAAAAATTTTAATTTCATAATTTTATGGTTTTAATTAAGAATAGTAGATATGATATTTTAAATATTTTACGAGATTTTTTTATTTTAATACAGACACAATGCAAAGAGACAGGGCTTGGATGTATAATAAGAACTTACCTGGACGTCGAGGATTGATCGATGAGTTTCGTACTGGGTTGGAACTATTTTTAGACTTTGCTAGTACTAAATATGAGTTCATGGATGGAAATAAGTTAAGGTGTCCATGTAAAAAGTGCAGTAATGGTAAATTTAATGTGTGTGATAAAGTTAGAGAACATCTTTGTAAATTTGGGTTTACTCCGAATTATTATAATTGGACTTGCCATGGTGAACCATTTATATCTGATGAAGGATATCGAAGAAGTGACCAATTTTTAGTTAGGGAAGAATGTAACTATTATAACCAATTGAACCCATACGAGAGGATGATGATTGATGCAGTTGGTCAGAATTTTGTTTCGGAATAGAACCATGCAAGTACTAGTTTTACTCCTATACTTGAACAAGTGGGTACTAGTCATGCATCACAATTGGAAGAGATGGGAGTAACGGGTTTTGATGAGAATGTATGTCATGGACCTTTTTCATCTAATCAGTTCTGAAAAATGATGAAAGCAGCAGATGAACCTTTATGGGCAGGTTGTGACAACCACACTAAGTTATCAGTGACAGCAAGACTGTTAAATATCAAGGCAGAGCATAATGTGTCTACGGATTGCTTCAACTCTTTTGTTGAAGTAATGCGAGAAACATTTCCTCGTGATAACATCATGCCAAGTGATTTTTACGATATGAAAAAGCTAGTGGATAACTTAGGTCTTCCGGTTGTAAGGATTGAT